TTTTTTTTTTTAACTTTTTAAATATTTATTTATTTTGGAGAGAGAGAGACAGAGGCAGAGCATGAGCAGGGGAGGGGCAGAGAGAGAGACACAGAATCCGATACAGGCTCCAGGCTCCAAGCTGTCAGCACAGAGCCTGACGTGGGGCTCAAACTCACGAACCACGAGATCATAACCTGAGCGGAAGTCAGACAGCCAACTGACTGAGCCACCCAGGCGCCCCAGGAGTAATATTTTTATAATGTCAGACTGTCGTGACTCATTTGTTACTTGTACTATGACAGAAAATACACTTACGCAATTGTTGATACAGAATATTTTATTTATGTGTTTGCTATCTGTACAGATGTCTCTCATCTTTGTATTTGTTTCTGTATTCTAACTGAACCTCAAAATTCCTAAAGGATGAGGCTTGTATCTGTTTAACTTGATTTGTATACTCTCAGCAGAGCAGAGCATCAGATGGACATCTGGCATATTTCAATAATGATAAAGCATAAGACAAAATCAAAGTCAATAAGACACGTAATAAAAAAGCACATGGAAACATACAAAAATTCTTACGTTAGAATAATGCTATACGTAATTTGTAAAATCTACTTTTTTAAGTTCATACATGAGATTATATTGATTTTCTTATTTAAAGAAAAAGGGGAACTTCAATGAGTTATAGAACTAAAAATGCAAAATGAAGGTAACAAATATTTTTGGCTCTTGAACTAAAAAAATAATGATCAGTGAGAAAAAAAGAGACATGAAGAAGAATAAACTAGACCAATACTGATATTTTCTTCATGTTAAAAAAAAAATTGCCTTTTAGTCTTATTTGGATTGATTGGAAATGAGCAGTGATGACATTCTTGGGCTAAAAAACCAACAACGCAGCTCGTTCAAACAAAAGGAGCAAAGGAACATTACCCAAACCAAACTTATAGGGTCACTTGTAACATGGAAGCATAGGAAAAATGTTCTAAGCACATCCAAAAAAGAAAGAAAAGGGAAGAAAGAAAGAAAGAAAGAAAGAAAGAAAGAAAGAAAGAAAGAAAAAGAAAGGAGAGGAAAGGAGAAAGGAAGAAAGGAAGGAAGAAAAGAAAAGAAAAAAGCACAAGGCCCCATTCTATCCACTGAATTTTCCCTGTCTGTTCAGAGAGACAAGAAATGGCTTGGGAAACACCTTACCCAATTAAGCTAGAAACCTCTAAGTCTCCAGGACACTTTCTGAAAGGTTAACAGGTTTAGCCCAGTGTTTAGGACAGCAATTTCACGGTTTAAAATATATATATTTAATAACAAGTAAATAAACCAACGATCAGAAAAACTGAAGAGTGTACATGTGATATTAAAGTGCTGCCTATGGACATTTTATAAAGTAAAAAGTGTTTTAGGTTTAATCTGTATTTTACAAAGATCGACACCATTAAAACCAACATGATTATTTACCACTCATCCAATCACTGAGGTAACAAAATTACAAAAATATGTAAAAAATATTCTAGATTCATAACACCAGATATGCTAATTCCCATATAGCTAGTATAAATTTGATTAAAAAAATAGTTTTGTTTCCTTAAAAACACTTGGTTCATTTACCATTTAATATCAGATAGATATCTGCTATCCTAAAGTACCAAAAAATTTACAAATAAAAATGGCAATGACTATACTCTGGGTTTCTTATTCGGTGGATCCTGAAGGCTAAACTTTGGAATTTCCCCCGAAGGCGCATATGGAATTCTCTTTGAAGACACCTTTTTTCCAATTGTTTCAATCTAGGGGGGAAAAGAAAGATTTTAGAAAGAAAACCTATTTTTTCCTTTTAAAATCAAAAGAGGGTCTCAAGTTTTCTGGGTAGCTATGAAAGATTTTTGGTTCCTTCTGTATTTTTCATGTTTCTAGAGTCAATCTACACTCCACTCTCCAAATTTACAGCTAGACACTCTTATTCTTGCCATTCCCAACACCAGACCCCCTCAGACTGAGGACAGACTCACATGCCACCACTGTGTCAGCAACATGGATGAAAGCAACTAACAGACAAGATTCCAGTGCAATCAAATTCTCTCTCAAACTCTATTCTCACATCTGTTCCCTTATTCTAAAAAATTTACATCAGCTTGAGGGACCTGGGTGGTTCAGTCAGTTGAGCAGCTGACTTTGGCTCAGGTCATGATCTCACGGTTTGTGAGTTTGGGCCCCGCATTGGGCCCTGTTCGTGCCCTGTCTCTCTCTGTCTCTCAAAACTAAATAAACGTTAAAAAAGAATTGTTGTTTTTTTTTTTAATTTACATCAGCTGTAATAGCATAGATTTCAGGAGTTCAGGCTTCAGAGTCTAAAAGGCCCCAGCTGGATTCCTGATTGCTAATTGTTGTGTCAACTAAGCTCTCTAGATCTTTCTTCCTCATTTGTAAACAGTGTTACTACCACTTACTTCAACAGGTTGTGTTATGGATTAAATTAGATAAAGTGCCCAGTGCAGTGGCCGGCATACAAGTCAGCCTTCAATAAATAAGTGGTAGTCTATTTTTATTTTGCATATTACATTTTATTTATTTATTTATTTATTTTTTAATTTTTTTTCAACGTTTTATTATTTATTTTTTGAGACAGAGAGAGACAGAGCATGGACGGGGGAGGGGCAGAGAGAGAGGGAGACACAGAATCCGAAACAGGCTCCAGGCTCTGAGCGATCAGCCCAGAGCCCGACGCGGGGCTCGAACTCACGGACCGCGAGATCGTGACCTGGCTGAAGTCGGACGCTTAACCGACTGCGCCACCCAGGCGCCCCTGCATATTACATTTTAAACTTTTCCTCATATATCTAAAATCACTAATCTTATCTTTAAAGACACTGCTTCTTTAACAATCATAAATTTAGCTCTTCTCTATAGCAAAAATATACTATACAATTTTCACAAATGTCTTTTGAATTAAAAATTAAGAGCACCTGAGTGGCTCAGTCAGTTAAGCGTCCGACTCTTGATTTTGGCTCAGGTCAAGATCTCATGGTTTGTGAGTTCGAGCCCTCCGTCGGGCTCTGTGCTGACAGTGTAGAGCCTGCCTGGGATTCTCCTCTCCCTCTCTATCTGCCTCTCCTCTGCTCATGCTCTCTCTTTCTCAAAATAAAGTAAAAAAAACTTTTTAAAATTAACTATATAATTCTGACTCAAAGGGTTTTTGCTTTGTATTAATCATTTTAGTGACTTACAAATTCCCTTTATTTAGTGATTCCATTCCTCATTTTTTCCATACATTTTTTAAAAATCCGTACTCAGAAAAGTTAACTTTTATAAGAATCCAAGCTTATATTACCTATCTTCTCCCTTAAATGAGTAACACAAGAATGCAAGAAAATGTGTTTACGCCTTGGAAGTAATCTTTAAAAAATAACATTGCTTCAGTTTAAGTCATGACTGGGAAAAGCAGTCATGCTGTTACTCACTAAGGAGGGGTGCAGTAGAAGAATCCCCAAGGTCCCTGATGGAATGTTAACAGACAAGGACGTCATCTGATTCTTGCTGCAAGTGAATCTCTCACGAATGAGAAATGAGCACTGAATTCTCTAAGAAGGATCTTTAACAAGTCGGTGACAGGTTAAGAGAACCAGATCCAATATTCTGAACAGCAGATAAAGCCTTCTGGGTACCTTTCCAAGAATGCTGGTGCCGAGCAAATGCACAAGAGCCAGCTCTCAACACTCCCCCCTCCCTGCTCTGCCCAGGGACTATGGGACTATGCTGACTACAATCTCCTGGCGTAATTCTTCACCCTCCCAACCTCCCCTCAAGCCTCCCACCCCCACGTACACACTGCTCCGAGGAAATGGAAAGTACCTCCTCCTTATTAATACTCTTGGGACCCTTGGTAAAATTGAAATAGATGCAACATAAAGGTACTGTTCAGGTTTCTGTCAGCTCTCTAAACACTCCATTTAGGTAGCAAACTTTGAATTAAAAAAGGGCCAGTCCCACTAAAGCTCCCATACTTCTCGCTCAGACCTCTCAGGCGCTAGAACAGTGCTGAGCACTCAAAAGGTATAGGATCCTATGCAATATGTGACAACTACACTGCATTTTGCAGTTTTCAAAACATTCAGATAGGAATAAGTGGCCTGGCCCCTGAGGGTGTCAGTGTGGTGCAGATAGTTCATCAGAGCAGCGTGGGTGGCTCTGGGAAGAAAAAAAAAATTCTTTTAAATTGTATATTTTCTTACTTGATCTTTATATGAAGTAAGACAAGGTACATTCTATCCCTATGTAATAGATAACTACTGACTCCTAGATACCATGTAAGGAAGACCAATACTGAATGATCTTGAGATTACAAATTAAGGAGGGAGTGGAGTAATTACACAAATCGCATAGAGATTTTCCAGAGAACTGACATGTTGCCCCCATGTTATGTTATTGCTAAAGAAGGGAATATTAAAATTCTAAAACTCAAACCCACTAAAAAGCAAATGACCAAACAAACAAAACAAAACTGGTCCAGGATCATAATTAATTACCTGGAAGCCAATGGTTTGTAGTTCGTTGTGGAGCCCATCTAAGACACGTCGTCCATCAAAGATAAAGGCTGGCTTCAGCATTTTTTTATGAATGCGTTCATAATCCAATTCCTATAAAGACAGAAATGAAACAATTAGAACATATACATGAACACATACTCAACCCCTACTGATACCAGAATACTTCTAAAATTTTCTTTCATAGTACTTGTCACCTCACCTTAAACATGTCCCACTCAGTGCAAATAACCACAGCATGGGCACCATCACATGCTTCATATGGATCCTTGGAAATGGTCACGAGCCGGGACACTGTAACAACAGCAACAAAAAATTGGCAATAAGAAGGGAATTATTTGAAATTACGCATTTTGGGGCGCCTGGGTGGCGCAGTCGGTTAAGCGTCCGACTTCAGCCAGGTCACGATCTCGCGGTCCGTGAGTTCGAGCCCCGCGTCGGGCTCTGGGCTGATGGCTCAGAGCCTGGAGCCTGTTTCGGATTCTGTGTCTCCCTCTCTCTCTGCCCCTCCTCCGTTCATGCTCTGTCTCTCTCTGTCCCAAAAATAAATAAACGTTGAAAAATAAAAAATAAAAAAATAAAAAAAATGAAATTACGCATTTTAATACTAGGGTTACTAGGAAGGTCTGACAGAAGTGAAATAGTCTGGTTGAAGTGAGAATGAGAGTAATGGGGGGGGGGGGGGGGGTGTGCCTGGAGCACCTGAACCTTACCCTAGAAGCATCTCCTTGGAACATCTGGGGCTTCTTAGGGTATGTTGGAAAAATCATCAGACCAACCCACAGCCAATAAAATCAAAGTTGATAGAACAATGTCTAAGAGTTTAATTTTAGAGAAATGAAGCAGAAAAGAAGGCCTACCAATGATAAAAATAGAACAACCATGGAAGCAGCACAAATGTCCATCAACAGATGAATAGATAAGGAAGCTGTACCATACACACACACGCACACACACACATATATATACACATACACACATACATATGCATACAACAGAATATTATTCAGCCATCAAAAAGAATGAAATCTTGCCATTTGCAATGACATGGATGGAGCTAGGGAGTACAATCCTAAGTCAGTCAGTCAGAGAAAGACAAATACCATATGACTTCACTCATATGTGTAATTTAAGAAACCAACCAAACAAATAAACAAAGGAAAAAAAGGGAGAGAGAGAGAGAAAGACAAACTAAGAAACAGTCTTAACTATAGAGAACAAACCAGAGGGGCAGGTGGGGGGAATGGGTGAAATAGATAAAGGGGATTTAGACTGCACTTTATCACAAAGAGCACTGAGTAATGTATGGAATTGTTGAATCACTATATTGTACATATGAAACTAATATAACATTGTATGTTAACCATACTGGAATTTTTTTTAAGTTTATTTATTTATTTTGAGAGAGAGAGAGAGAGAGAGAGAGAGAGAGAGAGCGCCGGGGGGAGGGACAAAGAAACAGGGAGAGAGAGAATCCCAAGCAGGCTCTGTACTGTCAGCACGGAGCCTGATGCAAGGCTTGATCCCATGAACTGTTGAGGCCATGACCTGAATCAAAATCAAGAGTTGGATGCCTAACTGAGCCACCCAGGCACCCCTAAAAAAATTTTTTTAATGCAGCATTTCATTAAGAAACAAAAACAAAAACAGAACCACCAAAGGTTTCTAGAGAACAAACAAGTTTTAGGCCCATATTCAGTGATTCATAAGACTCAAAGCCTTACCTTGGTCATCCTCTGAAACTCCTGGGTGAGAAAGATCCACAACTATTTGTTCCCTTGGTACTTTTGGATCATATATATGGAGATGTGCACCTTCATCCATCAAATATTTGCTGATATATATGCTAGAAGATTCTCTAAAGGAAAAAACATCAGTATTGCTAGGGAGTATAATGACACAAAATAGCATATATTCTAATACCTAAGGAGTTTGTAGAGGGAAAATTCTATTTCTTGTGAGGATACAGATGTTCACTTTACTTTTATTCTTTATACTATATATATGCACATATATTTCACACACACACATCCACTATCAAAAATCAAAATAAGATGAGCAGTTAGTACTCTCAAAGGGGTTGAAATATTTTTAAGAACTGGTACCTCGTATCACCGGTGTCCTTTTTGAATGCAAATCCCAAAATAGCTATCTTCTTATCAGTTACTGTATTAAACAGACTGTCTATAATCCGGGAAGCAAATCTCCTTCTCTGGTAGTCATTCATATCTATGACCTGAAATTACATGTACAATTATACAACGTATACATGTACAGTTAGTGCAGTTAAAAGAGGTGAAGCCTATGCCACACACTGCTCACAGTTTTATAGTACTATTGTATGAATACCAGCCTCATAAAGTAACAGGAGGCAAAGATTAAACAACCTCTTCAGTATCTATTAAAAATTAAAAAAAAAAAAAAAAAAAAAAAAAAAAAAAAAAGAATTACCATCCCACACTTAAAGTCATCCTGAAAATTTTCACTTGGCTTCCATGCACCAACCTCAGATGGGATGGATGTAAAGATGAGGAGCACAGTTAAGTTTCAACCCCACTTGAGATCCAGCTATAATAGCTGAAAAAAGGCACAGAGAAAACAGAGTTCTCCTTTGCCAACTTCTCCAAACCCTATGGAAGCAAGGCTGTAAGCAATCAAATCCCAAAGCCCCACCACCACCCTTGCCATATACGCTTACCCCTCACCGAAACTGAGTGGAAGTAGAAAGTGAGCAGAAAACAGTTGAACAATGCAGAGTTATAGCTGCCTCTTGATAAAGCATAGCACTCCTAACCCTTGGCTAAGTTTTTAACTAAATATTGTAAGAATAAAAGTCTCTGCTCGCCTAACCCTTTACTCTCCTAAGAGTCTATAAACAGACTTCAGGAGCACCTGGGTGGCTCAGTGGGTTGAGTGTCTGACTTCGGTTCATGTCATGATCTCACGGTTCATGGGTTCGAGCCCCATACGGGCTCTCTGCATCAGCACAGAGCCCACTTTGGATTTTTGTCTCCCTCTCTCTCTGCCCCTCCCCCGCTCACACTCGCTCTCTCCATCTCTCAAAAAAAAAAATAATAAACATTTTAAAAAAAGTAAAAATAAATAAATAAACAAGACTTCCTATTGGTGGCCAGTATATAAGGAAAGAGACTAGTTTTTATGTGTTTTTTTTTTTTTTTTAAGGCACTGAATTTCTAGGGGCTGTCTCAAAACCTGAGAGCTCGTGAAATGAGCCCAGAGTGTTGGAAAATCAAGACTTTATCTGCATTTTGCCATGATGGACAGGAAGCTAAAGTCATCATGCTGGACTGAATGAAACAAACTTTTACATTGTACATTTTCCTTAAAAATGTACATTTCCTTATACTGTCACCCACTGCTGAAATCTAAAAAACTACAAAGTTGCAAAAAAAATATTTGGGAAAGATATGTATACCGGCTGGTATCTTGGACATATTACTTAACGTCTCTAGCCTCAGTTTCCTCACCTAGAAATGGGGAATATTAGTGATGAGGACTAAATGAAATATGCAAAGTACCTAAGAAAGTGCCTGGCACAGGGAAAGCACTCAATTAATGTGAACTCTATTTTCAGTTTGGGAAGGGTCTTTAATTTTAGCTCTGTGAATCTCAAAGGGACAAAACAAATATCAACACACACAAACCACCTTGAAAGCATTACAATTCAGGTTCTTCCTTTGTTATGATTGTCTGCCTTTTAGGATAGAGAAGAGTTGTAATTAATAGTTCTTGCTTTACCCCGAGAGCAAATGTGTTATAAAACTAGAAGACAGATAGTTTATCAGAAATTTCCATCAGAGTTGATTAGCAAAAAAGACAAAAACAAAGAAGCCCAATAAGTAAACCTAAAATAAAGAAACTGAATATAATGTTTGAGTTCCTGGAATAAATAAATTCTGTCCAAAACATCTCACAAAGGGTGACATGTTTTAATCATAAGTTAAGCAAAAGTTGTGACTAGAAAGATTAATACCTGCTGCCAATACCGAGCTACTTCAGGCAAATTCAGAGCCTCACAGAGATAAACCAAATTCAGAACATCTTTCTGAAAGCAGCTTCCACCAAAACCTGAAGAAAAAAGTGACAGTATTTTTAAGAACCACAACTGAATCATGTGACAAATCTGTCACACTAAATCAGAGGGCCTAAGCTAGAATTTTTTTTTTCTTTAAGTAAACTCCACCCCACACATGGGGCTCAAACTCACAACCCCGAGATCAAGAGTTGCATGCTCTACTGTATTAGAGTTGCATGCTCTACTATGCCAGTCAGGTGACCCTATGCTAGGATTTCTAATAATAAAATTTAGATGTTGGAAAGTTATTGGGTTTAAATAATGTGTGAAATTTGCAAGCAACTAATCAACTCTAAAATAATTTCTAGATAATCTTCTAGTAAATGTTTTATTATGGCTACATTTTCTATTTTATTCCTTATTCATCTGGTATCACTGCCCCACCTCTCTTAGTTTAGCACTTAGTTTAGCACAGGGCTGGTAAAGTTTTATGGGACAAATTGTAAATATTTTAGCCTTTGTGGGCCACATAATCTCTGGCACAAATATTCAACTCTGCCTTTGTAGCTCAAAAGCAGTCATAGACAATATGTAATAAAATTGGCATGGCTGTGTTCCAATGAAACTTTATTTATAAAACAAGCTAGGGACCAATTTTAGCCTGAAGACAATAGTTTGCCCACCCTGTTCTAATACAATTCAATATACAGTAAGGATTGGCATGTGCTTTGGAGTCCAAAACACCTAGCCACTCACTAGTTGTGTGACTTACAGCAAGTTGTGAAAATTTCCCTGATCCCTAACCATCTCTATAAAGGACATACCAGCACCTTCTTAACAGGTTATAAGGATTAATAAATGAGATATATAAAGTACTAGTTCAGAACTTGTTGCATAATAGACCTTCAATAAATAGTAGCTATTTTTTTTTTAAATGGTAGCTTAAAGAAAATACTAAAAAGATAGAAAAGGGCAGGGAGGGGCGCCTGGGTGGCGCAGTTGGTTAAGCGTCCGGCTTCAGCCAGGTCACGATCTCGCGGTCCGTGAGTTCGAGCCCCGCATCAGGCTCTGGGCTGATGGCTCAGAGCCTGGAGCCTGTTTCCAATTCTATGTCTCCCTCTCTCTGCCCCTCCCCTGTTCATGCTCTGTCTCTCTCTGTCCCAAAAATAAATAAACGTTGAAAAAAAATTTTTTTTTTAAAAAAAAAAAGAAAAGGGCAGGGAAACCAGAATTGAGAAATGGCATTAGGCCCCAGAAACACACGAAGGGCTGCCTATGGCCCAATCTATAAAACTCTATTTACCCTTAGATCAACCATGTTAACTTATATCCAAAAACACAACCAATTCTCATTATCTACTAGTTACATTCTACAAAATTGCCACAAATGTGGAATTAATGAATACTGAAGCATTGTTTCTAGGCGAAATAAAGAGTTAGGTTCCTGTGAGCTTATGGTCACATTTCACCAACAAATTGATACATAATCATTTTACTTTTATTAAAAATTTATTTTATTTTATTATACTTAGACTTTTTAATGTTTTTATTTTTTTGATTTTCAATTTTAATTCCAGCATAGTATATATTATACAGTGTTATGTTAGTTTCAGGTCTACAATATAGTGATTCAACAATTCTACACATTACTCAGTGTTCATCA